TTTCCTAAACTGAAAAGTTTCAGACTCTACAGCCTTTCCTCATACGGAAGGCGCTCCAAGCCCCCAAATAATCTTGGTTGCCCTCCTCTGTACTTTTCCCAGCTCTTTCCGACTTCTGAAGCCTTTTCCCAGGTTTGTTTTAATGAACTCATTTCAGATGGGGAACTGGAGATGAACAAGCATTTGAGGTACGTGGGGTGTGGGTGTGTGCTGTGGCCTACAGATCTACTAGGGTTGCTAAACTCCAGGTGGGGGTCTCCAGATCCAGACCAGTGTTCCCTCTAAGCTGAGTTAGTGTGAGCTAGCTCACTGTTTTCTTAGCCTCCGGCTCATGCATTTTTGTCTTAGCTCAGAAAGGCTGGCTCCAGAGCAAACTAATTTATGCCGTAGCCAAATCGCTCGCTCACAACTTTGATGCCAGGAGCTCCCAAAGCAGAATTTTTGCTCACAAGACTCCGTAGCTTAGAGGGAACATTGCTCCAGACTACAGAGTTCAGTTCCTCTAGAGGAAAATAGCTGCTTTGGAGGGTGGACTTTATGGCATTGTGCCATGGTGAGGTTCCTCTCCTCCCCAAACCCTACCCTCTCCAGTCTCCAGGCGACCCTCAAAACCTCCAGGTATTTCCCAACCCAGGGCCGGCAACCCTAGGCTCTAGAGCCAAATGTGTCTCACTAGGGAACAAAACATGTCTCTTAAAAAAAAAAGAGAGAGAACATCAGAAGAGCCCTGCTGGATCAGACCAGTGGTCCATCCCTGCCCAAAAATAGCCCTGGTGAGGTTCCTCTCTTTCCCAAACCCTACCCTCTCCAGTCCCCAGGAGACCCTCAAAATCTCCAGGTATTTCCCAACCCAGGGCTGGCAACCCTAGGCTCTAGAGCCAAAACATGTCTCTTAAAAAAAAAAAAGAACATCAGAAGAGCCCTGCTGGATCAGACCAGTGGTCCATCTGGTCCAGCATCTTGTCTTCACACAGTGGCCAACCAGTTCCTCTGGAGGGCCAACAACAGGATACAGAGGCCGAGGCCATCCCCTGATGTAGCCGATCTTCAAAGGTTGACTTCCTCTGAATGTGGAGGTTCCCTTTAACCACCGTGGCTAATAGCCACTGATAATTCTATCCTCCGTGAAATAAAAGCTTATCTTTAAGTTAACTTATATGGGAGTGGTAGATGGGATTTTAGAATAAATTGTAAGGGAGGGGTTTGGCAGACAAAGGCCCCGTTCACACGGAGCATTTGCCGCGCTAAATATACGGATGATAGGCGGATTTTCCGGGCGCGATCACACAGCAACATTTGGGAAGTGTAGTGCACCTGTGGCTAATCCGTGGCTTCATGCCGAAGATACGGAGTAAAAAACTAGTACTTACGATTTACTAGTTTCCAGAAAACGCGGGGCAAGGGCGGGCGTCTGATCGCGTCCCGTCCTAGTCCCATTGCAAACCGGTTAGTTCTTTTTTTTCAGTCTTCATTGGATGCGCACAAACGATCATGCGCATGCTCACGTTTTGGTGAGAAAAAAATTATTCCTGTTTGCCACGGAAGCAGCGCCTGGCGATTGCTGGTCTGATCACGCCGCGCTGCTTCTTTGCCGCTCTGTAGGATAGCTGTGTGATAGGCACCTCACGCCCTAACCACAGGACCTCGACGGGACGTGTGATCGGGCAGCCGCACGTTATTTTGCTCCGGGGCAAACAGCCACACTCCCCCCCCCCCCGGCATTTTCCGGCCCGTGTGACCAGGGCCAAAGATCTTTTTCATGGGTCTAAAGCACTTCTTAGAGATGCTTTCTGGAAAGGGAAATGATAGAAGGGAATAGTTTGCCAGTAGTCCAAGTGAACCATGCAGAGATTGATGCCAGTGTGTGAAAACAATTGCCTGGGATGCTCCTGTGTACATGTATGACTTACAGTGAGACTGCGTGTATGTTCTCCTGCCTTAAAAAAAAATCACGATCCATGTAAGCAGAAAGCAAGCTGTTCAGGGAAATTGGGTCCTAATAGAGCCCGTTCGCCGCTGAACTAATTTTCTCCTTGCAGGAATTTTTTATTTCTTTCCTTTCCTTTTTTTAAGATAGGGAATCATTTTTTAAAATGTGATCCTTCTCCTGCAGTCTGGAGCACCGCAATCCATCCTGCAGTGCCATGGCTGATTTCTAGAGCTAGTCCATGATTGGAAACATGAAAACCGGCGAGTGTAGTAGCTGCTCTTCTAGATTTTAACTAATGTGAGGGAAAGGTTGTGTTTGCTGTTGGAAGTGCCGTCTGGTGATTTATTACCCTTTAAGAATAGGCCAGAAGGATAACTCCGAAGGATAGAGAGAAAGCGAACAAAAACTGCAAAGAAAAGATTTGGAAATGTCAAGACATAGACGGAACTTTGGTGGATGTGTAAAAAAAGCAAAAAGGTACTGGAAAGAAATTCGTGGAGAAATGCAGGATATTTTAAAGGTTACGTTTCCCATGGAAGCTAAGAGGATGTTCTTAGGTATACTGCCTAACAATTTGCCAAAACGTTTGAAAGAGATATTCAGGTATATGGTGACAGCGGCTAGAATTATTTATGCAGCGAAACGGAAAGCAGACATTTTCCCTCGATTAGAAGAGTGGAAAAACAAGCTTGCTGAGCCTGCAGTGATGGCGAAACTAACATCTTATTTGAGAAACAGCTCAGTTATGAAATTCGAAGGGAGATGGGCTGATTTCGCACAAGGAGCTGCGCCAACCTAGCGCTTCCCTTTGCCCCGTTTCCATTGGTCAATTTCCCACGCGAAGCCGTGCGGCTGCATTTTGACCCACGGCTTCGCCCGATTTCCCCCGCGGTTTCATGATCCTGTTTTTTGAGGATCACAAAACCGCGGGGAAAATCGGGCAAAGCCACGGGTCAAAATGCGGCCACGTGGCTTCGAGTGGGAAATTGACCAATGGAAACGGGGCAAAGGGAGGCGTGACGGCGGCGCAGCTCCTGGTGCGAAATCAGCCATGGAGTGTGTATTCTATGTACGGAAGCAGGAGACGAATCTAGAATGAGAAGCAGTCTAAAATTTTGTATCTAAGCGTATCGCAATGAAGAAGGAGAAGTAGTTCTAAATGTTAAAGGTATAAATGTATCCCAACCAAAGTTATTTTTATTGTATTTTACAGACGGTGTTTTAAAAATTCTTTTATGTAACGAAGGGGTTGTTAGGGAGAAAACATTTTCTGTTTGTGTTACCTAATTACTTTTTCCTTTGTGTATTTTCTTTTATATTATCTGTTTGTTTAAAAAAAATAATTTTAAAAGAATAGGCTAGAAGGGGAAATATCATCAGCAGTGCCCTCTCCGTCTCTGCGTGTTACCTAATTACTTTTTCCTTTGTGTGTTTTCTTTCATATTTTCTGTTTGTCTTAAAAAATAATTTTAAAAGAATAGGCCAGAAGGGGAAATGTCATCAGGAGAGCCCTCTCCGTCAATGCAGGACATTAATGGGGTGGGTGGGTTTGCATCTGGGGTTTTCCCCCTCTCTGAAAGAGACAGGAAGTCTCTGAGGATCTAGACCCTGGAACCCTGGAGGTGAGCTCGCTGCAATTCACAAGTGATTAGAATACAAGGTGGCTGTTATAATAAAGTCCTGGGAATATTCCTATTAAGATCCTTAAGTGTAAGGATGTGTACTGGTGGCCAAGATAAAGATAATTCATACTACAGTATTCCCCATTGTGGTGGCTGCGGTGGCTCAAGTGGTTAAGACGCTGAACTGCAGACCGGAAGGTCGGTAGTTCAGCCTTTTGAGACCCAAGTGCCGCATGACAGAGTGAGCTCCCATCTCTGGTCCCAGCTCCTGCCAACCTAGCCGTTTGAAAGCAAGAAATTGCAAGTAGATAAATAGGTACCACTTCGATGAGAAGGGAACAGCGTTCCGTGCGCCTCGGCGTCTAGTCATGCCGGCCACATGACCACGGAAACGTCTGCAGACAGCGCTGGCTCTTCGGCTTGGAAACGGAGATGAGCACCGCATCCCTAGCGTCAGATTCGGCTGGCTTTCGAGCAAGGGAAACCTTTACCTATTCCCCATTACGGTCTGTGGATGTGAAAGTTAGACAATGAAGAACGCTTATAGGAAGAAAGTTGAACTGTGGTGTTGGAGGAGAGTTTTATGGACACTGTGGACCACCGGAAAGAAATACATGTGTCCTAGATCAAATCTGGCCTGAACTCTCCCTAGAAGCTAAGAAGACCAAATTGAGGCTTTGGAGGGTGGAGTCTGTGGCATTACACCCTGCCGAGGCCCCTCCCCTCCCCAAGCCCCGCCCTCCCGGGCTCCGCCTCCATCAGCCAGTCACTCTGTGTGGCCTGCCTTTTGGAGAAGAACCACATCGTCTGCCCTAGGAAAACTGAGGAGAAGGTGAAAACGTAACAGGGTCGCTCCTACGTACTTCCCTACAAAAAAAAAAAAGAAACACATTTTTTTTTTGTAAGTAAGAAATCTGGCTCGACAGGCTCTGCTAGGAGCGTTTGCCTTGAAGGGCTAGTTTTCTGCATGCGTGGGTGGGAAGGGTTCCCTATCTCCAGGGCTCTTTTTGTAGAAAAAGCCCAGCAGGAACTCATTAGCATAATAGGCCACCCCCAACAGCAGGAACCCATTAGCATATTGGGCCACACCCCTGACAGCACAGCTCATTAGCATATTAGGCCACACCCACATGCTACCAGAAGTGTGGTCATCCAGCCACACCCACCTTTTGCTTGTTATTCTGTTTACCTTGTCTGTTGTCAAAACCCAGGGCCTTTTTTTCTAGCAGGAACCCCTTTGCATGTTAGGCCACACACCCCTGATGTAGCCAATCCTAATGAGTTCCTGCTGTTGGGTGTGGCCTATTATGCTAATGAGTTCCTGCTGGGCGTGGCCAACTCGGGAGCCAGCCGGAACTCTGTTCCTGTGCGTTCCGCCCCCAAAATAGCCCTGCCTATCTCTTCTCAGTCTGCCTCTCTTCTCTCCTCCGCTTCACCCACCACGGCAGGATTTCCCGATCCTCCACCTGGAAGGGATCGTGGATGAGCACTCGAACGTCCTGGGCTTCTCCATGTTCAACACCAGCCATCCGTTCTACCTGGAGTTTGTCCGTAGCCTCAACATGTCGTGGCGGGAGAACTGCGAGGTCAGCCCTTACCCGGGGCCTGCGGTAAGTCTCGGCCGGACGAGGTCGCCAGCGAAATTTCACCCGAGGCGGGGGGGAGACCCAATTCGGAATGGTTCTCTGTGGAGGCCTCTCTGGACAAAAGAGTTTAGACCCGTTCTGATTCCAATAACCGTTATTGGCGTAACAATAACTTCAAAAAGAAAAGATCAGTACAGATTCGTCCACATCCCAGCAAAGAGAAACAATCAAGAGTACAGCGATTTGTAGCATTGTATGTAGTACTAATAACAGGGCAAAGTGATAAAAGTTCGGAACAGTAATCTCAAGTATCGCAGTAATTTAAAAAGATACTCTAAGAAGCTTAACTATTTAGACAAGAATCAGCTTAGAGGGAACATTGGTTTAGACCCGTTCCACTTCCAATAACTGTTATTGGCGTAACGATAACTTCAAAATGAAAAGATCAGTACAGATCCGTCCACATGCCAGCAAAGAGAAACAATCAGAGTACAGCGATTTGTAGCATTGTATGTAGTACTAATAACAGGGCAAAGGGATAGAAATTCGGAACAGTAATCTCAAGTATCGCAGTAATTTAAAACAGTTACAGTAAGAAGCTTAACTTTTTAGACGAGAATAATCGCGGCATTATTAGGGAGGAGGTTTGGGGGTTCAGTTCGAGGCGGTGCTTAGGACCTTTAAAGCCCTTCATGACCTGGGACCCACATATTTGAAGGGCTGTTCTCTTCCATGTGTCCGTCTAATATGCCCTCTCCAGCAGGGGCAGATTAACCATTAAGCAGACTAGGAGATGAGCACCACAACCCTAGAGTCGGACTCAACTGGCTTTCGAGCAAGGGGACCTTTACCTCCTTCCATATGTCCTTGTGCACCACCTAGGGGTCGTCAGGCAGCCATCTCACCACATAGGGTGGCCCGCCTGGAACCAGTAGGGTTGCCAATCTCCAGGTGGAGGCTGGAGATCCCCCAGAATTACAGCCGGTCTCCGGCTTACAGAGATCAGTCACCCTGGAGAAAATGGCTGCTTTGGAAGGTGGGCTGTATGGAAATATACCCCGCTGAGGTCCCCCCCCCCCAGGCTCCACCCGTAAAATCTCCAGGGATTCCCTGACCAGGAGCTGGCAACCCTAGGCATTGACCAGAGCCTGGGTCTTTTCCAACATGGCTCTGTCTCTGTGAAATGGGCTCGCTGAAGAGGTATGGGGGGGGGGTCCCCTCCTTGGAGATCTTCAGAAGAAGAGATGGTTTTATACCCCGCTTTTCTCTGCATTACATAAGAACATGAGAGAAGCCAACGTTGGATCAGGACAGTGGCCCATCCAGTCCAACACTCTGTCACACAGTGGCCAGAAATACCACCAGTGGGGCCAGGACACTAGAAGCCCTCCCACTGCCCCCCCCCCCAAGCACCAAGAATACAGAGCATCACTTGCCCCAGCCTGAGAGTTCCTATCGGGACCTTGTGGCTAATAGCCGCTGACGGACCTCTGCTCCATATGTTTATCTAATTCCCTCTTGAAGCCGTCCTTGCCTGTAGCCGCCGCCGCCACCTGTGGCAGTGAATCTGCTGTTTTTAATGTTAAACTTCAAATGTTTTTAACTATTACAGTAGGCCACCTTGAACCGTGAGGAAAGGTGGGGACCGAAATGTTTCAATAGATAAATAAAGCAACCTTTAAAGTTTTTTACCGGGTTTTCAAAATATTTGAGGAATTTCAAAAGAAGCCCCAAATAGTTGTGGTGAGCAGCATTTCCCAGTGGGAGAACCAGTTTGGTGTAATCTGGGAGAACCGGGTTTGATTCCCCACTCCTCTACATGCAGCTGCTGGTGTGACCTTGGGTCAGTCACAAGTTCATTCAGAGCTGTTCTCTCAAGGGCAGTTCTCGAGAGAGCTCTCTCAGCCCCACCTACCTCACAGAGTGTCTGTTGTGGGGAGGGGAAGGGAAAGGAGATTGTAAGCTGCTCCGAGACTCTTTCGGGTAGTGAAGGGCGGGGTATAAATCCAGTCTCCTCCTCCTCCTCCTCCTCTTCTTCTGGCATCTCTAGATGTGTGCAAACTTTCACATCCTGATTTTAATGGAGGCTTGATAATGTATTGGAGAAACTGAGATTCGACCTCCCTGGATGCTATTCTTGTCACTTTGCCTGATTCAGTCCCCCGTCGTATGTATGTATGGCTGCGTGGGGATGCAGATGGACTAGCGACGGGGTGAAAGGCCTCAATTAAAGCAATTGCCCGGCCCCTGGGACCGCCTAGTGATTAACTCCAGCTGAATTATTTGCCCTTCTCCAGTTGTCTGCGGCGCTGATGTTCGATGCAGTGCACGTCGTGGTGAGTGCCGTGCGGGAGCTGAACCGCAGCCAAGAGATCGGGGTCAAGCCCTTGGCCTGCACATCAGCTAACATCTGGCAACACGGAACCAGCCTCATGAACTACTTGCGCATGGTGAGGGGCGGGTGTTGCGCACTCGGTGGGGGGGGAAGCTCCATTTCCTGTGGCACCCAGACCGTTTGGGCAGGATGGGCAAGGGACTGGCCTTGCATAAAAACGAGAATCCTCAGTCCTCAGCCTGTTAGGTTTGATCCAAAGATGATGCGGAGGCTGGCCTGGATTTGAGAAAAGGGCGTGTCGTGCTAGGCCCCGTGAGAGAGACTGCGTTTCTTTTTCTACCCTGCTTTCCCCCAGCCGGGAACCCAAATTGGTGTACGTCTCTTTACCCCTCATCCTTTTTATCCTTGCAACAACTGCCCTGTAAGGTAGGTTAGGAGAGAGTGAGTAAGGTCATCTGCTGAGCTTCCATGGCAGTGTGGGGGATTCGAACATGGGTCTGGCGTAACACGGTAACCGCTACACCACAGTTGCTATAGCCCTAAAGAAAACACTCTTATTTGGTGCAGTGGTTAGGAGTGTGGACTCTGATCTGGGAGAACCGGGTTTGATTCCCCACTCCTCCACATGCAGCTGCTGGTGTGACCTTGGCTCAGTCACAAGTTCTCTCAGAGCTGTTCTCTCAGAGCTCTCTCAGCCCCACCTACCTCACAGGGTGTCTGTTGTGGGGTGGGGAAAGGAAAGGAGATTGTAAGCCGCTCTGAGACTCCTTCGGGCAGTGAAGGGTGGGGTGTAAATCCAGTCTCTTCTTCTCTTCTTCTTAATCTGCTAGTTTCTGAACTCTCAGTCTCTGTTCCTCAACAGAGGTAGCACAAGATTCAAATCAGGATAGCCAAGCCTCTAAAACCGTATCAAGCCAAATATCCGTAATTTCCCCTCTTATCACCCTATCCCCTCCACCCTTTTTTCCTCTTGCCTATGATGGCGGGGCCCCTCCTCGCCTTTCTTTACCCCTTTCCACGGAGAAAACACAGCCCCTCCTGTACCTAGGTCCTGTATGCTGATAGGCTATCTTTGAGCAGCTAGCATGTTCGCGGACATTCCGTGACATCACCACAACCCAGCCAGTGAGCCGCGTCAGCTTCTGTGACATCACAACTACTCAGCCAATGCAGGCAACTGCCAGCTTGTGTTTATCTGGGGGGAACGCCTTTTCCTACATACCTGCAGATTCAGATCTAGCAGATGTGAAGATCTTGTCTTGGACACACCTGACTCTCTCTCATTCTCTTTTCCTCTCTCCTGTCTTTTCCCTCCCTCCAATTGTCTTTTCCCCCCCCCCAATCCCCCCCCCCCCCCGCTCTCCATCTCCCCATCCCTGGCCAGGTAGAGTATGACGGGCTGACAGGGCGCGTCGAGTTCAACAGCAAGGGTCAGAGAACCAATTACACCTTGCGAATCCTTGAAAAGGCCCGTCACGGTCATCGGGAGGTAAGAACGGGCCTGTGCATATCCTGAGTGCCCCCCCCCACTGAGGACAAGACTAATCCAGGAAAACCCAAATTAAGCAATTAAACAAGAATGTTACATATAGTTCCTTACATTATGTAATCAACTCTTATTGCATAAGAGGGGTCGTGGCTCAGTGGTAGAGCATCTGCTTGGCATGCAGAAGGTCCCAGGTTCAGTCCCCGGCTTCTCCAGTGAAAAGGATCAGAGATAGAGCTTCTGCTTGGCATGCAGGAGGTCCCAGGTTCAATCCCCAG